ACCTTGTTGCTTTATTCGTATTACAGTGGCGCCCAAGTGACCCATTATTGTACGTAAACATATGCCACATTTCACATAGAGAGAGAATACATTTCAAAGAAGAGAGAATATATTATATATCAAGGCAATATGTGACGTAATTCAGCATTATTCTTTTTTACTAGAACTGCATAATTTTATTGCTTGGTGAAAGAAGAAATAAGAATAATAACTAATAAATTATAAAGTATTTAAAGTAATTTAACCAAAAAAATAATTACTTCAAGAGAATATTAAGCTTGTCATATAGTTAATTACCACAAGAAGTTGATAAACAATGCATTTAACTTGAAAGCGTACCGTCAAAACAGAATTCAAACTCTAAAATAAAACAATGTGATATAAAAACAATATATAATAAATATTTTAACACAATTATCCTCCTTTCAGCACAATTTAGTAGCTGATCAGATTTTTAAGTGCATTAAAGAAATATTGGATTGAAATTCCAACAAAACGAATTTTTGGTTATTTTTTTTAAATTTAATGTTGATAAATTTGATGTGTTAGAGAGTTCAAAGAGTTCAAATTAAAATGCGACAGCTGTGTTTTAAAATAAAAATCTTTTATACAGCAAGTATTTGATTGAATCTCAAGGACGGTTTATTTTTAAAAGTAAGTGCACGCGAAGTGAACTAGAACCATAAAAGCTAATTGTCTTTTTCTTCAACAGACGGAATGATGATAAAATTTTATAACACGTGGATCTAACATAATTTTTTCAATAAAATATAATAACGCAATAATTTCTGTTTTTATCATTATTTCTTACAAATTATTTCAACAATAACAGCTTAAATAGAGAGAACTATTTTTCACAAATAATCATGTTTTAATCCTACATATTATAATACATATATAAATCCTCACTTGATATTTTTACTATATTTAACGAATTCGCAAATGTGCTTGAATACGACAATCGTCCTATTGCAATCGGTCTCTGTGTCTCTAAAAACAAAGCGCGTTAGAATTTCAATAATGCCTGCAATAAAAGATCCAACATTTTCACTTTAAAGTTAAAGCATAATACTCAAACTTTAATTTAAACTCCTCTTCAAATCTCTAGAATATCAAACTTATCATGTACAAATTAAAAAAAGACTTAAAATGTGTTTTTGGGGAATTTAACATCATATTTCTTAAATGTGAAACGACGAGACTTCTTTCTTTGCGGATTCAGATACACAAAGAGAAACATTAATAAATTATTCATTCTTTCAAAAAACCTTTAAAATACATGATATTTATCTATATAAGTATATTACTTATACATAACATGGAAATAAATAGAATTCATAAAAAATATATTCCATCAAAAGTTTGTTAAAATACGTATTATATTAAATAAAATATAATATTGTGAAAATGTAAATAATGACTCAAATTTTTCTTAAATTGTTTGTCACATGTATTATATATAAAATACTTTACTTTGCGTACATAAAAGCTATGTAATAAGTAAAGTAAATACAAAGCTTTAATAATTATTGTAAACACAAAGCTCCCTTTTAAAATTATTTTATACACTGAGAAAAAGGTTTAGTAATAATAACGTAGCCTAGGTCATAGTTACTAAATGGTTTGGTTAAATAGTGCCGACTAAATGTTTAGTTAATACTAACCAATGATTTAGTAATTATTAACAGTAAGGTTTGGTATTTATTATCAAGGCTTGGTTATAATTACTAAATAATATCGTAACAGTTACCAAATTGTCGCAAACTTTACTAAACCATTAGGTAACTATAACTATATGGTTAGGTTATATAATAACTATAATAGTATATATAAGAGTTCTGATAGGGTTCTAATAAAGATGCCTTAATGCCTGGTCAGGCACTCATCAGGCAGCCCTGACAGGGCCCTGACCGTAAAAGTAAGTATATTCAGGTTATCGAGGTTTATCCACGATCCAGAGACAACTCGCTCTCGCATCATATCGGCTCGCCCTTTATACTAATACGGGACGATTTTTACTTACGAGAAAGACGCGCGGTCGCCACGTCGCCGCGTCGCGGCAGTATGTGGTATCTAAATTATTTGATAATTATTACCATTGTATTTGATATTATTTACCAAACCATTTAGTTGGGTCAACTGACATCAAGATTTTAGTTTACTAAATATTTTGTAATAATAACCAACCGTTTGGTAACAATTACTATATTAGTTATTACTTACCAAATATTGCAGTAAAACGCTGAACTAAATGCATTTGGTAATTATTACTAGACTTTTTTCTCAGTGTAGGAAGGTGGAAAATACCGCACACTTTAAACAAATTTTTCCACAAATTCCTTTGCTGTACCTGCGTTAATAATCAAACAACTTTAATAATTAACTTTATCTTTGAATACAACGGCGCGTAAAATTTACACACAGGGCAATGTTAATTTATTTAAAACTTTTTATCTGACGTATTTTTTCAGTAGGTAATACATTTTCTGCAGTACGCAGCAAAGCTTTATAAATACATCTCGTACACTTCTGTAATGCGTCAGCCCTTCTGAGAGATGGTAACACACTCCCGCGTACCTTCCACCCGGAAAGTGTTAATCAAATTGTTGCAATCTGCAAGTGCACGCAGGTAGCTACTTCGCGTAAGCAGCTTCAGCGCGAAGTTCCCGAGTTCATTTATATGTATGCACATACGAGAAAATGTAGCGGAGTTCCAATCTGCCAACAAAGATACGCTCCGGATCAATGGTTTTCGATACAGCGTCCCATTTATAAAATCGCTCGACTGTACGTCGATTTCAGCAATTTTTTTTATATAACAGTAAAAATGTCAGTTGCCGGTTATTCAGTTGCCTGTTATTCACAAAAAAAATAGAAAGCGATGTGTTCGATAGAATGTTAATTCAATTTCCGTACGAGAAAGACACTTTTCTTTATTCTCTCCGCCGTTGCTCCATTTAGCTATCGTAAATTTGTCAAAACGCGTGACTGACGTATTACGAAAGTGGAAATACATTTTGCCAAAGCCATTAATAAAGTGAAATAGAATGAATCTATAATTGGTAAAATTGTCCAAGAATACAAATATTTTTATTTATTTATTTACTTTCAATATTGGATAAATCTCGAGTTAGCCAGTCCAGTAAATTAAATTTCACTTCCGTTTCAAAATTGAAAAAAATCATCTACAAATTTTTTTAACTAAATGTCAAAATTTTTTTAAATTTAAATAGAAAAAACGTTGATCTTAATTTTCATTAAATTCTGTACCTACAACACCCCTGAAAAGTCCTAATTCTTTATAATAAAAAGCTAATTCTGGGACTCTCTGTACAAAATAGGTTCATATTTTGGGTTTTGATACCCACCGTACGTTAGTTCATGATTTATCCCCATTTTGAATTGTCCACTATTTGTCACCTTCGATGGTTTATCGAAATCGCCAAAATAACTCGCTGACAACTCGTCCGCGTCCTCGATTTACAGAATCAAATATCCGAATACGTAGAAAATGATTTATCATAATGCACTCGACGCCCATATATAACCGCGCTTTATTATATTGCTGACTAAATCGAAATTTGGAATGTGCGAGCGTGCATAAAAGCGCGTCGCTTTCACACGTCGGGCAGCCGCATTGAATTGCAAATGCTTTTTTTTCCCCCCGCGCGTCATTTATTGCTTTTTTCTTTATCTCTCCGCCATTTCGCATCTACACGAATCCTACTTGTCCCCCCCCCCCTCCTCCGCAATGGTCGCGACATTAGATCGATAAAACAATCTGCGGTCGGATGTCATCATGAATTCTGATGTTACCGCACATTCATCGATCATCGTCATTCATCTTCATCCGAATAAATTATTTGTTTTTGTCACACAGGTTGACAACTAATTAATTCTTACGTCCTCGTTCGATTTTCTGTACCACGTTGAGTATATCAATCGCGCATTGTTCTCATGACAGAAGATAGTCACTCCTTTACAGATGAGGCAGAATTTATGCGCTGGTAAAATTCAGGAACATTATTCTCAGGGACACAAATAGAATTCAAAGAGATCTGTGTCAGTACTCTTATCAAAAACTTCCGGCACGGAAACGCGTCACGCGGTGTACTGTTTAAGAAACCCTAATCTACAGGAGCCGCGATTCGTATTAGGAGACACTGTATACGTAAATGTAAATGTGAAAATTAATCTTCTGAAATACGCGCATCGGAAACCATAACCGCATTGAGGAAGCGGTCAACTCCTATAAAAGCCTGGAAGCTCGTTTACGGAGATAGTAGTCCTCCGATAAACTGTGACCCTGTGTGTGTTTCGAGACCTACATGAAATGTGACCGTTAATATAATAGTATGTTACATAGACTTGTCATTTTTTTATGCATATTTATTTTGCGCTGGTAAGAGACGACTGTTTTCGACCGTTTTTTGAAATAATAAATAAATGTGGTGCGGGTTATAGCGCTATCACTGCGCTGCAGGCGAGTAATCTCAATCATATTAATTTTCGAGCTATAAAAATCAGTAAAAAAAATATTAAAAAGTACTCTCCGTTCAAGTTCATCGCAAAATTATTATTATTGTTATTATTAAATATCTCTTCCCGAGAACTGCGATTTTTGTATTCGACAATGCGATATATTTTGCACGACGTTAAAATTGCGTTGCAGCGAGTCATCTTAATCGCATTAATCCCACAGGCAATAAAACCGCCAAAAGATAGAATTCGAAAATATTCTCTATCCAAGTTTTAGCGCAAAATTATTGTTGCAAGGTCTCTCTTCGCCAGAATTGCGAGTTCTACGTTTAGGAACGGTCATGCAAATGCCGTCGTCGCGTGTGTAGGAGCGGCAACTCTCATTTCTCAGAGTGATACCCTCAAACCAACTCTCGGTGTTGATATCTCGCTGAAGATGTATTTCGCGACTGTTACTCCTTTCACCGCCACGAACAAAGTTGTAAGTGCCTCTTTCTCTCTTGTCGTAACTTCTGACTTACCCTCCACGAAGAGGAAGTATCCCTCGGGATTGTTCGCCAGTATCCGAAGCGCCTTAATCGCCATCTCGGCCAGAGAAGGATCGCCGGTGTCGTTCGTGTTCCGGTCGACGTCGAAGTCCATGTGAGAATAGGCGAAGAGACCTGCGGTGAAGAAAATAAGTCTCGGCAAGTAATCGGATCGTGCTACGCGGAAATAAGTTGAGAACCTTATGGACAAATGCAAGGAAACGCAAAGGACGGAAAAATTGAAGCAACGTACCAGATAGAAGTACAAATAAAAAAACGTATAAAATATAAGGAACAAGAAATAGGAAAAAGAGGCCATCGCACAATCGCAGAACTCGTAGAATCTACAATAAACTATTTAACAAAAAGAAGAAAGATTTGACTAATTGTTTGTAAATGAATCGCACACACTGAAACACTTTTTTATTACATCTGGATTGATATAGACCGATATTATATTTTTGCAATCGCTATTTTATTGCTATTTTATTCGAGATGTGATTGTATCTTGTTCCTTATAATTTATAGCATTAATACTTATTTCAGGTGTACGCTCGCTTTAACGACGTCATCGCGCTTTTCAGAGATTACTTATTACCAGCTGAGATTAATTGATTGTACATACATGACGTAACAGTACCTCAAAATTCGCTCCATTGATCAATTGATTAACACTCGATCTTATTAGCTAGATACACAGAGAAATCATCAATGGCAATCGATAGGCACAACGTAATCTCGTATCCCGGAGCTGAATGTCTAATAATTAATACACTGATTACAGACCTGACAACAGCGTGCAATTAATACAATGCAGCAGCTAATCGCATTATACCCAAATCTAAAGCACGAATGATCAATGCAATGAAATTCTTGTAAGTCATTGCGACACTCGGGCATTCTGCGAATTTAAAGTCCGTACATGCATTCGGGATGCATACATTTTTTATAATACAAATTAAATTGTTAACTAAAAGTTATATTGTGCAAATTATCGCCAGTTCCCGTAGCAGATGTTAAACGTTACACAATTTAAAAAAATAAAATTTAATACGAAAATATACACTATTTTACCGCTTTACTAAAAAAAACGTTGTAATAAAATTACTTATTAAATTCATTAACTAAATTAATAAAAAAACGAAATAGTGAACAAATTAAAAGCAGATAGTGAAAAAAGAGTAAATGTTTAAAACTCTTACTCATATAATTTTAATACATTCATTTTTCCCTGAATTTTATAATCAAAGTCAAATTTTTTGAATGAAATACTGCGTTAGAATACAGCGGTGAAAATTTTGTTAAATCAAATTTTATAAAAATTCTCTCAGCTGGTTTCGTATAAGATTATAAAACTGCGTAACATAATCCTTTTATGAATTAAATAAGTCATACTTCAGTACTGCATAAATTCATCTGCGAAACACAGACTTGAATGCAGAATAAGCTAATTCAGCATATTCCAACATGATTAAATTCCAACGTGATTAGCTAACCATACATATATGTTATATTGTAACTTCGTTAGGATATTCTGAACAGAAATTATATTGTTTACAAGATCAAGTGGAGTAATCGAGATTATTCAGTAAACGAGAGCAAATGATGTTATTATAACATAATTAATTCGGAATATGTATTTAATAATGATAAGTATTTAAAATATTATAGGAGAAAACACAATTATAGATAATATCGATTAAAATTACTGCGTGACCCATTCAATAGTTTTAATTGCTTCAATTTTATAATAATTAATAAATGGCAATAGACGTTCACGGGCTGTAACACTATGCCAGTGTCCAACATTAAATCTTGCAAGCATAGATATGTAAATGTATTAAACTTGCTATTATTACTTACCTAACAATCGGTTCACTCTTCGCGTGTCCACCTTTTCAAATTGCTCCTTATTGGCGATGTATTTCGCGGCTATGTTTCTCTTGCGATGATTCCTGGACCACTCTTCAATGAGATTTCGGCCGTCCAATCGCCTGCCCTCTTTATCCGGCTCTTCGGGGTCCAAAGTCACTTTCGGTACAAAGTGGCGTCTGCCACCACCCAGTATCACCTATATCGATTAAAATGACACATTTTTTATTATAACGCATATAATTATGTATCATTTTTAATTTGATAAAATTCGGTAAATAAATCTTTCCGGGCTCAATCGCTTTGTTGGATACACTTTTTCGATTTGAAATCGAATCAAAAGATCTGAATTTTTACTAGAAGCGCCTCGATCCCTGATTCCACCTATCCGTGACGAGACACGCGGAACCGACTTTAATGAGAAAGAAAGTTAGTTCGCATCAACTTTCCCGGGAGGCAGCGCGCCAATGAAATCGCCCGTGGACTTCTTTGCTTCGCTCGGACTTTGAAGTAAAGGCTCTCTTCCGAAAAATAGCACATCACAAGTTATTCCAAAAAGTAAAGAGTACTAATTAATCCCGTCGCGCTTAGTTTGTCATTACGATGCATTTTTCCTTCGTTTTTAATAAGCGAACGTTTGGTCATTCAATACTTTATTGAAAATATGAAATGTGTCCTTCTACTTATAATATTTAATTAGAAATATAGAATGTGACCTTCTAATTATAATCGGCCTAGATTTCCAAGTTTCCCGGTCAAAAAATGCCGCGAAAAAGCATTTTCATGCTACAGAAGGTTCGGATTTTGTTCGCACATAAATAGTACTTTTAGCTCGGGCTATAGCAATCTATTCTCCGTTCGCGTTTCGTTGGTCTGATTGGGCGAGAAAGGTGCAGAACAAGCATCACGTGATAAAAGACGTGAATAAACTGCGAGACATATGTTTTATGTCTATCGATACAAGATAGAAGGTGCAATAAAGCGTGATAAAGGAGACGAACGAGCACCGATACGGGTTTTATGTCCACTCGTATGCAGGAACGAATCATAACTGTGAAAACCTCTATGCGTCATCTGGGCGAGTGTAATCGTATCGGACAGGCTTTACATCTTCGACCGTCGCACCTTTCAACTTGTCGCGGAACGGACAATAAAATATCTAAACGTTTTATTTTTTAATTTTATCGCAATGCAACGAAGAAGTTGCACTTGCTTCGCACAAAATGCGCCCGTTCGCAAATAATTACCGTCGCCCAATTTCGCTGAAGAGATTCATAAGCCGGAATTATATCATTATGCGGTTTGCGTGAAGGATCTAAATTCAAAGTGACATCTATCCGGTTTAACGTTATTTCATTATTCAAAATATTAAAATATCAAGATACTGGCAGTTGTTAAAAGATTTTGTAAAACGCTACGAGGTGGTTGTGATAATGTAATTTACGGCCGTAATTGAAACAATGACATGTAGAATAAGAAGATTAAGATGAAAATACCAGAGCGAAATTTATCTCTTTTACCTCTCGGGTATCGGGGCGCTAGCTAACTGCATCCAGAGAAATATAGATATCGAGCTTACATAAATGCAAAAAGTATCGAATACCTTCGCCACGCAAGAAACGCCAAGATATTATTACATACTGTGATGTTACAGCCGGGCTCGTCCTCGAGCAGCTGACGCGCGATGTCCTTGCAAGAGGTACGTGCAGCAGGTGGCACTTTACCGTCGTCCTCCCAGTAACGGCTGGCCGCGTGTGCATAAAGAGCCGCCGGTGTCGCGTGTGTAACCCTGGTGGTTGTAACCAGCCCCGTCGATTTGCCTGCGATCAGAAAAATCGAATTATTGCCTTTTCGCAGGGAAGTTTACCCTTTTTCTCCCGATCTTTCCATCTTCGATCTCTATCTACCTTTTCTCCCTCGCTCCCTCTCTCTCTCTCTCTCTCTGTCTCTCTCCTTGTTCCACTGGCAAAGTTTCCGGCGTACGTGCCTTCGTAAATCACCCCTTCGGATCCTCGCGGTCGTTCGTATCCGCGTCCGACTTTATCGCGTTTAAGCGGGCCAAGCGTGCACCGTCACTGACGTAGACCCGGAAGACAAATTCCCCGGGTAGCGACCCCCCAGGCGAATCAGTACGATTTATACTTCATTGGGAGCGAAGTGGATTTTAGAATGTTGAACCGAGCCGGGGCTAGAGCCGTACGGGGATTATTACCGGCGAGGTCGGCCGATGTATTATTCAGAGGAATCTCGAATCGACTGTATCGTACCTAGCCGCGATGCGGTTACACCAGACTACTCGCTCACAGGTGTAAATACTCGACGGAGATCTGAATCTTTCAAAATCCTGGGATTAATTTCTCTTGCCACACAAATACTTAATATTCTATCGCGGTTACGTGTCTTCAAATACTTACAACGATTTCCAAATGCACAACTATTAATACTCTCATTGTTTTCCGCGACCAAAGATAAATCCTTTCTCTTGTAGAGGTCTAACGTGTTTACACAATATTTTAAATATGATTCTATTTTCATTAGAAAGAGGTATGACTGTACAACATGTTTTTCATCACGGTGAGTATTTTTAATCATTCCTTCATATTTATACCATATATTGCTTTTGCGAAGTGAGTTGCACAAGCAAAAAATACGAGTTTTCGCGTTTTTCAATTTATCAACTCGGAAACGTATGTTCTTTTATCCAGAAAAGCGTCATAAGTGCAGTTACAAAAATTTCATCAAAAAAAAGGATCAGCGCAGTGTTGTATTTCGTTTAAAAATAGTGACGGCAAAGGGAAGGAACGTTTGAAAGAAAAATACGATTCTCACATTACAAAGAAAAATCTATTAAGGCAAAAAAGGTAAAGGGTAAAGGGTAAAAACAATTCAGCAGACCGTATGGCTGTAGCTGTACACGATACAAGCAGATTGAAAGTGTACGATGGTCCTCCTGTAAAATTACTATTTTTGACTTGTGTCACATTTCTCGTACAGAAACGATATATCTTGGTAACTGATTGCATTTAATGGTGGAGAGTAGAAATGCTATGTTTGGAAGCTCGGCCACGGTCGAAAAATCGGAGTTACAGCGCGCCGCCCGACTCGGAGATCGCATTTTAATTACACGAGTGTTCGCAATAACCTTGGCAGCCGTCTCGGGGGTTTCGCTTAGCGCGAATGGGCTAAGGAATTAAGTTGGCACGCAGAGCTTGCGCAACGTGTGCGGCCTCTCTACCGGGGTCAGTAATTACGGGAGTGGCTTTAGCACGGGAGGTTCGATGCTAATCGACCCGAGTGTGTCGATGCGTGGTCCTTCATTAAAGATCCACCGAGGGACCCTTTGATCTCGATATCTCCACTCGAAATTATCACTGCGCGATCCCGTTTAATTCATGACGCTACTTCTCGGCCTAAAAGCGAAATTGTCGATACTAATTCGAAAGATTAGATCTTGAAACTGCGAAACCTAATTTCCAGAAGAAACGAGGTCAATTGTATTTCGTAGAAAAATTAATTGCCGTAACTCACGACGTACACGGAGGGAATCTTATCTTAAAATTGATTTTGAAAATTATTTCATCGCGGGACAACACGGAATCTCAAAGAATTTTACCGTACATTTCACTAGCAATTATACTTATTGTTAGCATATATTTTACTAGTAAAATGTGTGGTACAATTTCGAAAACACATAAAGTTCTTGAAAATGCCATATTGTCTTACGATCACATGATTGTCAGGAGAAATTTTAAGAGGAAATTCTCTCTGTACACATGAACAATATTGAGATAGATTACCAGAGGAACATATATTACGACCTCCACAATCAAATTGACGATATGTTTAAAAGATATTTTCAGACCAGCTACAATGTCATACAAATTGTACAATAGAAATCACAGTATGCCTTCCCATATGAATTTAGGCACAGGTAGAACACGTATACATTTTCCATGTATGCATATGCAAAATGTGTCGATACGTGCACAAATTCATGGGAAGGCATCGGTGATTCGTAGTGTACGTTAATATTAGTATCGCAATAAAGAGTTAATAAGCAAGTGGAGCGTATATTCTGCGAGCATTGTACACTGCACTATACATAAATATCACGATATAAAACTTTTGCACGAGTTATCCGCCTTTCTTTTCAGTTGCTTCAAATAATTGGAATCCCAGTAGCGAAAGTTTAGAAAATCTTGTACAAAAACAACCAAGTCATTAAAGAGATATTTAATTATATATCTTGTTTCGGAAATTAAATTATTTTGGCAAGCAGCAAAGGCTTCTAGCAACGGCGTGAGTGTACGGAACTTTGTTCCTTCGTTAACTTCAAGTGACTTTGCTTTAACAGGAATTTAATTTGAGGCTTAGCTGTCGAGTTATCTAAAGTTCCGAATTAAAAGTTGCAAAAACAGCTGGTGTACCAGCCGAATTTTTGCGAGGAAAATGTCTCAGAGTCACCCCCGGATATTCACACTCGAGGAATATGGAGAAAGCCGAGCGGCCCCATCCTTAACGCCAGAATGGCGAAAAAATTCAGCCAACGTTATTGGTCTTTTCTTTTATGCGTGCCCATAAATTTCGCTGAAAGGGAACGGGAGGTGGCCTACATCAAGATGTTCTCGGGTCGGCGGGTTCGCGAACGTAAATATTCCTGCGGGATCGTCCGCCGGATCCACCGCGGTCGTACCCAATTCGTTCCCCGCTTTCCGATGGGCGAAACGATGGTGCGATTTCGTAGGTCGTGCACGACCCGCGATTCAAGATGATAATTCAAGGAGTTCCGGAGCGCCGGATGAGAGAACCGGCGGGGGATCCCCGATTCGCCCCTCGAGATGCGCGAAATGGACCGTAGTAAGTCGCGCCGCAGCTCGAGGACAGGGAGCCCTTATTCCCGCAACTTATCCCTTTCGCGAGAGCGAAGTCGCTTTAATGCGCCAACTCCTTAGCGAAATCGCGATATCGGGAAATGACATTTCGAATCTCCGGGTTTACATCTAACAGGATATAGGCGCTTCCACCGATCCGCTATGAAATCGGATATCGATCCGATGATACTTTATTTTAAAGTGTCGATACTTAATGGTATTGGTATTACAGTCGCAGTAAGTGCAAAAAATATCCCTGTTATGATAAACTGATGGAGAAAGGATCGATGCACCCATATAATAAATACACGTCGCAAGGGGAGAAGTAAAATGTACAAAAGAGGAGAGCAATATACGTCGAAATTGTGATATCATATTGTATCGTCGCGAGTAAGCGGGGAATATCTCTGCCATAGTGAATTAATAGAGAAAATGTCGATATGCGATATAATGAATATATATCGCGGGACGAGTAAAATGTATAAGGGAAACTATATACGTCAAAATTATGCTTTAATTCCTATTGCCATTTCTTATTCCCTCATCCATCCTAATTCCCTCCCTATTTACTATTTCACGCTTCCCCCGCCTTATCGCGCGAGAGCGACGATTATTCCGCGAGTGATAGATAACCGTGAGCCGTTCGCTCTCAATTATCGCCTTTATTATCCCCGCTATCCCGCGCCATCGTTTTTCCGCTGTCACCTCTGTTTTCAATTCCCCACTTCTTCCCGTTCATTTGACGTCGAATTTCCATCGCGGCCGTGCATCACCTCACGTGGCGGCAGCGACGTCGCGTCGCGCTAAAGAACGTGACAAACCGCCGACGAGAGGGCTAAAAAGCCGCGGCGCGGCCGCGCGGAAAGCCCGGGGTGTCAACGGCAAACGGCGCGCGATTAATCAGCTGGGCCATTCATCTTAATGATCGTGCCAAAGCAAGCTCGTCCTTTCATGCCCGCGTGTACATACAACGCGCGGCGGTGCACGTGTCAGCAACGCGTACACTCGCATACATATTGCCGGGGTCGCGGCGCACCGGCCGGTCCTGGCAACGTGTCAACTGCTCAAAAACACACAATGCCGCTGTTCGTTACCGTAGATACGGGTACGGAAGCGATACGTGGCCCGCCGCCGCGGCTCCCGTCGCGATATATCGCGATATATGATGAGGAAAAGAAAGAACCCCGCGTTAATTGGTCCCGCGAGCTGCGAGTTTCCCTCACTCCGTCCCGACCATCCGCGGTGACATCACACCCGCGTAATTGGCAGGAGACTCGTACTCTCAATTAACCATTTCTCACCCGTCGACGGCGGGTGCCCGAGCTCGCGAGTAGAAAGATGCTCGAGAGGGAGAGCCGAGGGTGAGATGAGGCGATCGCGCGCGCGTCAGACAAACTAACGCGTCTCGCTGAAACTCGTAAATGCTTCGCGTAGATAGCGGGTGTGTAGCGTATATTCCGGCGATGTTTATTATTTATTTAACGCACGCGAGAGATTCACGAACATCTGCGCTCTGCCTCGCGTAAGCAAGAAATTACATTACAAGCGGATTACAGCGCGCTACCGAGCATCGTTCTTTGCGGCGACCGGCCATCGCAAACAAACCGTAAGCGATTACTGATGATCGCGCAGGAGCGCGCGCGAAAGAGAGAGAGAGAGAGAGAGAGAGTAACGTTAATTCGCCGCCATCGCCAGCACGCCCACTCATAAACTTACAATTTGGTGGTAGAAGCAATTACAACGGTATCGCCGATAATTACTTCTGCAGCAGACACCCAGCAAACCTCCGCGGCGAAATATACAATGCATACAATACACTTGCGTACGTGTGCTGTATACGTACACGTCGACAGTTTTGATTTAGCTTTACGGCGCCGTTTTAGCGTACGGCGCGATAAAACGCTATTATGGCTCGCGCGATTTATCCAGCACGGCAGACAATGTCGCGTAACAAACGACGCCTTTGACGGCACCGGCTAACGTCGTCGCGAAACGCCGTCTTCTCGCCTTTCTCTAATTGCATTTTCTACTGCCGTCGACGAGACGGCCCGTTTCGAATACCGCGCGCTCGCCTTTGACGCGCGACGCGCCCACATACCTACCTACCCCGGATTTCCCTACGGCACGATGCGAATGGTACGGCGACACAGACGGATTGATTACGCGGGCCCTTCGAGATTATCTCTTCGAAAATTAAGGCGCGTTCAATTACAAATTATGAACGTTGTGATGGTCGAGATTCGTATATGTCGATTGCTTTAACATGCAAAATTTGTAGTTATTTAGTGTTTAGCTTGGCGTAATTTGGATTTCGGTAAATTATAATTGATAAAAGCCCACAATATGTTTAAGAAAACGAATGAAAATGTGCTCTAAGCAAGTTATATAACAATTTGGCTTTAAGAATCTTGGAACTTTCTAATTTGTTGCCCGGCAAATATATTAATTAAGGCATGACACGCGTATATGAGCGAAGCCGTAAACACCCGAGCTTCGAACTGCGGGGCATGAAACTGCGAAAGTTCGGTAACCACGTCCAGAATATTCTCGTATATACGGCGCGATTTAATAAACAGCATGTGAAATCTTCCATTAGGCAGAATCGCTCTAGCTTGTGCAATTAGCGCCAGCCGTAAATTAGATATCGGCTTCCGGTCAAGCGCCGCGCCAAGAATACGATGTGCGCCGCATGTGCATGCGGCGCGGCGCGCGGGGCGCGCAAGCGCGAATTCAATTTATACGTGGGCATTTAATCGTGTGCCGTGTTTGGGCGGTTTAATCGTTTTAACGCCCGTCCCCGGCAAATTGGATGTATGCGCAGATTAATTACGTTTGCTCATAATGACGAGATCGCGGGATCGTAAACGCCGCGCCGTGAAATTCGGTACAAAGTAACGACCCGATTAGAAAGATTAATCTGTATATGCCTGTAGGATGTATATTTTATCAATCGCTTGTTACCCTTCCTTCCATTCAAGATACCGCCCTTGCGAACGTGTTTTACTTTCTGACAAATCAATGTGCCGATCCTGAGTTCATCAAAAGATTAGCGCTGTGTCCATAGACACAGTGAGAATAGACTTGCGCGTTCTCAACCTCTCCCGTGTTGAGAACATGTACAAACTTTAGAACGAGACAGCTGATAGTTGAGTGGTCGCCTCACCTTTGTCCAGTAAAGTAGGGGGGTAACAGAAGAGTAACGGGAACGATAGAAGGCGACAGAGAGAGAGGCCGACCACTCAAAGTATGTTGTCTCTTTCTAAAGTTTGTGCAGCTTCAGTCAAACGAGCTGTATATTCATCCCTTTCTAAAAAGACCGTCTTAAGTTTGTCTTAGGATACTGTATGGAGCATTTCATTGGCTATAGAGTATCTGTAGATGATCTTAAGACGATCTTAAATATAAGATTCGACTATGAATACCGGCCTGACAAGTTTCTACACACGCTTCGCGTTTCGTATTCTCGTTTGTGCGGCTACTGAAATATTACTCTCACGTCGTGTCGATATGAAGACTCACCTTGATCCTGGGCCCAATTAATAAGCGAAGGAACGCGCGCCTCGAAGCTAGAGTAACAGTCCTCGAAACGTGCCGATGAATCCAGACCAACGGTCTCGTAATTGGCTTTAACTCCGCAGAGGAGTGCCGTCGCACATGCCGATGATTCGCCAACTTGGGCGTCCATGTTGTACGTCTGAAAACAAAATAACGGCGATTAATTGTATATTTTCGCGTAACCGAGTAATACAATTTTGTAGCCTGAGAAATGTTTACTTATGCGAAAGAGAGGATATGTATTTTTCCATCAATTGTATCTGATATAAAAACTATGTAGGTCAAAAGCGGTTTGCACTTCATTTCATTTACGGATGCCCCCAATCAATTTCCCTTCCGCAAAATTCTGCTAACGCACGTAAAAAATTTAATGAAATATATACTTTTAATTCCGCTCGTATCTCCGTGAAACTTGAAATAATGAATACTCTTGAATTTCAATCACTTACAATCGCAGAAGCAATTGAAATATTTTAGAATTAAGAGAAACGATATTTTGCTCGCATATTAAACTCGGATGGATGATGTAATCTGGATCTGCCGCATAGCGATCATTTCGCATTAATGAAATATCTCTTTCGACGTTAAAGTTTGCGACTATCAACGGGAACACTCGGAAATAATTCGTTCGAATTTGCGTGAATTTCAGTTGCAAGTTTACCTCGCGTTTACTCACGGCCGTAATTTTGCGGATTGCCCACACGGTTAACACCGCCGTGGTCACGTAAATAAGGCGTTTCCATACATCAAGTTCCGCGAACGTCAGGAGCATCGAGGGTGGAATGATAAGTTTGCGGAGGTAAAGAGAAATTCCGATGTAAGTGGACGTCGCCTCTATGTGTCATGACTGGCGATTTTCGTCGGGTAACAGGATATGGGGCGAAGTATGTCACCGCTGTCTAGGAACCGCACGTCGCTTTCAGCGCTCTAGGGTAAGCACTGCAACGAGCAAATGGACATTTCCGTCCATCGGCTCACTCGACTCAACCCGCTCCGAGCTTTGATGAAAACGACAGCTGTGCTCTATTACCGCTGGCGATTCGCGGATAAAAACTGCCGCTCTTCCATTCTCTGCGGAAATTAACGAAAACGTCCAATTCGATGCTCTCGGCCAATAATATTTTAATAGCAATTTTCATCGGTACAGAAAAATTACCAATGGAAAAATATCGGGAATAGTGGGATATCGTAATAATAGCGCGTCGTAAGATAATTTTCCACAAAGTTATAATAATATCTTCCATGAAAGATTATTACGCGATTTCCAGCTTATCATATTTTTCTTCGCTGTCACAAATACGATTATGCAAAGATCTTAACAGTAATATATTGATTAATATCGTTATGAGTAATTTTAATTATTTTCCGTACTAAAGCTACTTGCACTTTGCGCCAAACTTTGTTAACTTCATTATTAAAGGTACAAACGAAAAATCGAATTGTATAGAAGTACGCAAACGGTTTAAATTATATTCAAGATTTAGCTACTGCAACGGACCTCTTGGGATTTAATGTTTAAATCGAGTTTAAAGGTCGATCAGTACAACACGTAAGGTGGTGGTTGGAACAAACTCGTGCGCATAAATCCCCACGGCAATGTTCAATGGCGGGCGCTTTCGTGTAAAATACCGCTGATATCCGGCGGTTTTCTTATTACGCAACCAGTCCGTTTGGATATCCCTTCATCCCATAGAAAACCGATTGGCTCGCTCGAGTGAGCGTCCCCTATTTCAGGACCCGGCGATCCGGGACCACAACACCGGCTGGGAAGTGCCGATTTCCTTTCGCGCAAGAACACCCATAAACCACACTCGTCATTATCATACTAAAAGCCATGCATCGTCAATTCAAATACCGTTATGGATTAACTGCCGGGCCACACGACACGGTCGATCGTCAAGTAGCGGCAAAGTAGAACGCCCGAAGCCCTGAAACGTCGCCCGCAATAGCGAGAAGCCGCATGCCGACCAAACACGTTACAAACTCCAATATGCTCTGCATGAAATTGCACGAGGAGAGCGATGAGTCCGTTGTTTATAGCAAGAGCAAGAGCGAAAACTTGAAGTTCTACTTGGATATGCGACTTCGGAGAAAGAAAAAAATCCAGTCAAGATGCTCTCTCTCTCTCTCTCTCTCTTTCTTTCTTGAAACGTTTACTTTTTAAACACAAAATTTTTAACGCTCACTCGAGATATTATTGACGATTATTATCGGATCAATAAGAGAAAATATAATATGAGCAATATTGTATTCCAAATAAATACGTAATATAGCAATAAAACAATAAATATATGATAGTATATTAAATGTAGTTAATATAAAAGTGGTACAAGTATACAACTTTTATACCACTTTGATAAACGGAGAAACACTCACACGAATGCGTACGCACTCATCAAAAGATGTTAAAGTTAAAGCTTTCGATTGATATGTTTCAGGGAAACGATCTTTATCTGGCCAGCCGGCGACGCAATGGATGTGGTAAACGTTTCTTATCTGGCGTTATTTTCCCAGAAAAATCAATTCCAATGTCCACTCCGATAATATACGCTATTCACTACTGGAATTCAAAGCGCAATGCAAGAAGTGCCGATTATCAGAGAACGTCCGCAGAAATCTGTGACATGCAGCCGTTTAACTGTCCTCGATAGACATGGAAGTGCTGCAGATTATCGTCGAGTATTATCGGCGACGCTTTTATCAGGCATTTCCCCGATAAGATAAATTCGGTGCGCGCGAGGCGTGTCTTTTGGCGTGCAGGTGAGCGCGGACGGCAGTAAACGGGTAAACGCAAATTGGGAGATCGTTAGGAGGTGAACCTCGGCAAGGAAAATGCAGGCGGACGACAAGTGCATTCCGCAGCAGAAACAGCGGGGTATTTCAACGCCGGACAGATCGCAGCAGAGCGTGCCGGACGGATGGCCGTTCAGGAAGGCAAAGTAAGCACCACTTCGTCACGTCGTGACCGATATAAAGCGCAGAGATATAGAGGCACTGCAAGTAATCGACATGCGACTGATAGGTGCGCTTTTCAGCGCTTTCTACGCTTCGTCTCTTATCCCCTTCACTCGCTACAGCAAACACATAGGTGCACCAGCCACTAACCTTACGACCCCTTATAATCTTTGCCGCAAACTGATAAGTTACATCCGAAATTATGTGTACACGGGACAAATTAAATTATTAGCACAACACCACAATTTTATGGCGATCTTTCGTCTTTTATAGCTTTCGTTCCCGTTAACAGAAATGACAAAAATAATGTAATGACATACTAAAAATATACGATTTATCTTGCACGCGCTTTATTTTCAACGGCCAATTTCTTTATCTCTAATAAGAAATTCGGGAGACAATTGCTTCCTTATCTGTTTTAATACAGTGTGGCACTCGTTATAACGCAAATACATACATAGTATATTAATGCTCAAATATAATAAAATGTTTATTAACGCTTAAAGATGCACTAAAATTATTTTCTTATTTACTTGCACTGCTCTCATTTTATTTTCAACTACAAATGTCTTTGGTTTCATTTCAATTTATCGTTCATTTAAATATTGCTGTGCATACATTACTCATTCGTAATCTGTATAATGTGACAGCATGTGATCGATAATATTAATATTTTCAACTGCGGATTATTATTTTTCTAGCAAAAATATTTCTTTCTATTGATCGCAACGCCATTCGAAAGGAAATTTGACTTTTGTTATAATTCGCTGCCGTCTCCTACATCTCGAACCAATCTCGAGACAAGATCGTCCAAAGCAACGGACACTCTGATTCCAATCGCGATTAAATCGAGTTTATCGCACGAAGTCGAGGATGCATTAGGTACATCGTCTACCTGACACTGCATTATTTCTTCTTTTATCGAGATCCTCATACACAGGTGGCAGCAAAATAGTGCTCCGACGCGCGTTACGCGCTTATTTTCGCGGCAGCGCATAACGCATGGTCGGTGTAATTGTCGGATACCGAAGAGGACGAGGGTTAGCACGGGTGGGATGCCACGGCGGAGTAGATTTATATTCATAATAGCGGGGAGTTGGAGGCCGTTAGGCGCAAAATGTTTTAGAGCCCAAAGTAAACGCCGCAGTGTTCGCGGTAATGCCGGTAACTCACTTCTCCCACGACGAACATTTGTCTCGTAATGGCCACTGGCTCACCACGTTATGACTAGTTCGTAAGCGCCCCACAGTGGTTTTGTCACATCCGTTCTGTGTTCTCCCCTACATCCACCCCCCCCCCCCTCTCTCTCTCACCCACACACACACACACACATCCCTTATATATTTCGAGTGTTCTCGATGACTACGTAAGTGGTTGTGTGTGTGTGTGCCATTTCCATATATTCACGAGTATATGCCAGCGTATCCATCCATAAGAACCACTCATGCGATGACTCTTGTGCTGACTTTTTAATTTTACGGTTTTTCTGCCTTAAAGTTTTGGTCTTCATTACTTCTTTTTCAAGATACAATTTTAAACGCGCGTGAAATTAATCCAGTATTGAACGAAATTATAGTATAACGTAATTTCCTTGAATTTTTATATCTGGCAACATGACAAATGAAATATGATTCTTTTCACGAGTATTTCGTCGGAAATAAGCTAAATTATTTTTCAGTAGTTATAAAACGTGCAGAAATAAGTAAATTTCATAAATTTGGAAAGACCAAGGGAAAAAGAGAGATAGGCTAAGTTCCATTACATTTTTTAGAAAGAGCAGTGGAACGTGATGCTGAAAATAAAAGATTTCTACATCATTAATCTAACGGTAATAAAACGAAAGTATTTTGACAAAATCCGGAATATCGTATAGAATATTTTCTAGTCGTAGAATGAATCAGTTTGCAGGAATAAAGGACAACTCTTTCCTTAAATAAACCAAAACCACGGCGCAAGAATCCGTAAACGAAAGACGATACAAAATAGCTCCGGATGTCGAAGAGTATTAATATTTGTAATTCATTTTAATCTACGAAATTATTGCCAGCATTGCGCTACGATAGAAAATTATTTCCTCCTCAGAGCAAGACTTCTTACAAATAATCTCGTTTGCTCTTATTGTCAATACTTGCAACTAAATTTATTGCGAAAAAGGAAACGCTGGTCAAATGTAAAAACAAATAATATCGAGGTCAAAAATAATGACGAGCTTATTTAGGTGATAAGTGATAAAAGCATTGCATTTACATGTGTATTTCTTTTTATATGCACGGACAAAAATGATGTTGTATCAACAATATCAGTTTAATTGAAACAAAATTGTTGAAACAACATCAGTGTCAATGAATGAAACACGTCGAATAGTTGTCGTATAATAATCGGGATATTTAGTTCAATGTTTAAAATTAAAATCTATAGCAAATACAATTGAGCAAATTAGTAACGTTTGTGCAAGCAACTTAATTTTTCTTTAATTCAACAGAATGTTTTCCTATATAGACGTTTCGACAAGCAAAGTGTCTTCATCAGCATAGAACGCGAATATAAAAGCAGTAACAAGAACAATTATAATACGAATAAATGATGACAAAGATCTAAATTTTTGCAAGTGCTGCCTAACTTTAATATGTTTATTCTAGATCATCTATAGCGCGGTGTCTGCATTTCGCCGTGGCTAGGCCGAACTTTTACGTAGCACGCATCTAACCATGCGAGGATTAAACGCTTCGAGTTTACGGTCCATTCAGTTCAACGGGGCTCAGACAATTCCACCTCCGCATCCTCGCGCTATTCTGTACAATAATACCACCGATTTACTTTCGACCGGTGTAGCCGCGGCCCGATCCGGAACAGTCGTAATCGCGGTAACTCGCGAAAGTTGGATCGCGCGTACGTGCGAGAGCCGCGGAAAGTCGAGGGGCCGAGCTCCCGCACGATAAAACGCCGTCGAATCGCAGCGGAAGTTCTCGATTGCGATCTAAGTTGAAATTAAATTGACCACGGTATGATCCCGCCGCGGCGCTGCCCCGAGTCCCACGGCTAAACAGGATATCCGTCTGCGTAAGCGCACGTGAGCGGAAAGTACGAAGTAGACCGGGTGCACTTTTCCGGGGTAAGGTCCTCTTTTGCCGTCCGCCTCGCCTTAAGAAGAGAAATGATCCGATATTTCCCCTCCCGAAACCAACCGCAAAGAGGCAAAACGTTCCGGAAACGCCCGTTTCTTCCCCTCCTTTTCGCTCGTCCTCCTCTACTTTCTTCCTTGCTGCGCGCCATCGCCCGGGCCATCTATTTGCTACTGTCCTCAAGTCGGAATTCCACAACTAGCTACCGCCTAATTACACCAACTGCACAAAGAGACGTTGCACTAAATGCTACTGACATTTATTCCGTCCGCCGTGTTGCTTTTCTTTCTCTTTCTTCCTCCTTGTTTCTTTGTGTGTGCAACATACTCCGGTTAATGTATGCACTTATGCGAATCTCTTTAGTGCACAAAAGTATCGAAAAATGCTAAAGAATAATGGAAGTACTGTATACACCTTCACCACGATATTCGCACCTTCCTTTCCTTCATTTTACGATAAAATATTCCACCATTATCGCGTCAGTCTTCTCATCCAAAAGTTCCAGCCTGTTGATTTTTGCGTATCGTTCTGTGTTGATTTTTGCGTAACGTTTGCGATTCGTGGTATCGAGCGTTTTAATTCGCGGTAAAATATCCAGAGGAGAAAAATGTTAATACAATATTTCCGTTTTGAAATACGCTTTTTCGACGGAGAAAATAAAATTTAATTAAGATCCAACCAAGATACAAATAACTATACCGAGTTCCGCTCATTTCATTCCGCAGCTCCGTTATTAATAGCGGAACTACGAAATCATTTGTTTCTCGCATCTCGTGCAACGTGCGGCAGTGAATTTCTTTATCTACGCTATTTCGTCTAACAAACCATATCGCAACTCGTGAAAAGTTCACAACCTTCAACATGTTCCAAGATAATTCCACAGAGCGTCATTTCCAACATTAATTAACGAAACAAGGCCGTGAAGTTAAGCATTCGTTTTAGTATTCAGCTTCGGAATAACATTACCAACTTTCTACGATAAGATAACGAGGGTGTAATGTTGCAGTCGCCACGAACTTAATTATAATTTCAAAAGATGTCGACCATTGTTATTGAAGCAAACTGAATTTCCTGCGTTGGGTCTCGCATTTAAAACACAGAAAACAAAACATTGTGTTTTAACGTATCAACTTTAAATAATGTACCTTTAGCATTCACAATTAAACTCGAGTGTCACTAGATACCCCCAAGTGAGCTTCGACAACTTCTCAGCATATTGGAATATTTTTCCAGCAGGGACTGGCTCGATGCGCAAAACGCTGTGAAGGTCGATTTCGACCCGATCGCCGAAGACTACCATATGAAGCATGAAAGACGAGGAGTGGCGCTTATCCTGAACCACGTTCACTTCGAGGAAATGGCCACGAGAAAGGGCTCCATAAAGGACACTCTGGATCTCAAGGCATCGTTAGACAGGCTCGGGTTCGACGTTCGAATTTATAGCGATCCGACAATCAAAACTATAACCACGGTCTTGGAATCGAGTGAGTACTCCATTTCCGTAATCCGGACCTTGCGCAATCGTCGCGCTTTGTTACGTATCACCTGTCTCGATGACAGATCAAACGGATAGACGACGACGCGCCGAGCACCACTCGAATAACGAACGCGGGCGGCCCTGCCGTTTGAAAAAATAGCAGAAACGCGCAGACGATATCATTATTTCTGTTCATTCGCAATATTGCAGGCTGACGCAACCACGTCGTTAGTTCTGTGTACCGTCGTTTTCTTATCTCTCTCTACAATGAGCGCATTTTCGTTCCGTTCTCCCATCGTGACAAAGCGATAGAGTTTTCTCAAGATGGAGAGAAAATACGGAGTGCTTGAGACACCCTCTTCCCTTACTTTTAATCGCAAACTTTTCAAAGAATTTGAACTTAATTATCGTTTGAAAGGGAAAAAGTTCATGAGAAAACCATTTCATACACTTTTTTAACGCTTGATATCTTCGTGATTAAAGCGCAAGATGAAATTTTCCTAAAAGTCCCTTCGATATGGCACAGTACACCGACTCGCGGTTCATTAGATAAATGCACCAGGTCCTACCTCTCTGGTTGTTTTTTTATGTATAAATAAGTATAAACGGAAAAATTCCGATACAGGAATATAAAATATATATAAAAACATATCCGGCGTTAGTGATTGGAATTGGTTGGAAAGTCAAATCATCCATTACGTTTATAATTACTCAATGCAGGTAATCCCATACATATACAATAATCTTCCGCTCGCCTAATGGCATTGCGTCTACAAAGCAAGAAAGCTTTCCGAGTGCGCTGATAATTGCCGGCGGATTCTTTGTAGAGTCCCCCAGCAGACGAGCGGGTTAGATTCCGGCGGTTAACACGAAGCGGATAATGATGCGCGCCGATGAAGGAGACCCGGCGATAAGTTATACAAACATTTTACAACGGAACGAGCTCATTAAACGTCTATTCGTCGCAGTGAACCGAGTTCCTCGACAAATAACTAACAAAGCAATCTCGTGAATACGGCTGCGGCAGGTGCCGCGGAAAGTGAGGCGGAAAGTCCGATGATTACGGAACTTCGCGTTGGATAAGAAAAGTTTTCGCGCCTTCGCCTCAGCGCGACACGATGCGCTCTATCAAGCCGTATTCATTTACCACCCGCTTCTACATTCTCGCCGTTTCGTGCGATCGTGTAGCACGCATTCGAAAGGTTCGCTCCCGCATAGACCCACAGTTGGACAAAGCGCGTGCAATTAAAAATCTCTGGTAAAATAGACGAAAAGCGTCACTACACTCTTAATCTTCTATCGCGTAGTACTGCCGAATTCGCGGTACAATTTTTCAAGTACAATTGAGCTATGATACATGCTGATACAAGATATTTTTCCCGGTACATTAGCACGAGGTACAAGTTATATGAGATAATAATGAATATATAACGATCAGTTGGAGGTACCGCTCGAGGTATCGTCTATAAATTCACGGTACATTTTTAGGAGGTACAAGTAGTTCCCGTACGTACCTTCTATAGTAGTACGAGGTACAATGTACCTCCAAATACCTGTCTCCATGCCAACGAGAGATAGCTTTTGTTATTATCTTCCTTCGTCGTGCCACGCTTGCGTGATCGCGTCGGCTAAAGACACGAAGTGCATATTACATACATTACCCGAGTCAAAATTTTGGTACTAGTTTGACACTTTTACGAATAATTTACGCCTACTTAGCAATAACCTATTTTGACGACATAATATTTTTTACTCCTCCCTTGAATCTTTAATTCTACAAATTTACTTTAGCTCCTACTTAAAAGGACCTACTTTAATGCTAAATTGGCAAAAGTAAAAATTTCCGACACTATCAGTTTTAAAGCAGGAGTAAATTTTGTACTTGCAGTTCGACCTCTTTTACTGTCTCAGGTCCCACTATTATAATAGAATTAAAGGTTCGACATAGGGTGAAAATTTCGACTCTAGTATAGACGCGTTTTGTAATATAGATATTTGAGGCATTTTTCGTGGCCAGTACCAAGAATTAAATGTACAGAGTACATTCGCAAATTACATAATGTGGATCAAGCTTCCGTTTTATGTCTATATTGTGGGCATCCACCAGCAAGACAAGTTTCTGTGTTCTCAAAATAAGACTCCTAATTTCGAGGTACTATCTTCCCTTCTATTTTGGTGAATTTTTATGTACCTCGTAATTACACGTATACTTTTTATTATAACGTGTACCTCCAATTTTTGGCGGTGCACGCTTAAGAGTGTGCGAACGCTGGTCTCTCGCGAGCGAGGGGTAAACTGCTGAAGGCATTGTGGTGTACAGATTTGCGGTATTACTAGGCATTTTTTTGGGCATTAGTGCTCTCTAAAAGTCACTCGGTGGATTATCGCTGGAAACAGTGAATAATCACCGATTTACAGTTATATAGTAAGTATACTACTCCCAGTGAGAAATGATTCGTCGATCAACGTCGAAACGACGTCGAATCGACATCGACACCGTCGAATTGACGTCGATTCGACATCATTTCGACGTCGATCGACGAATCATTTCTCACTGGGCTGCGACTTCCAGTTGTATATACTTACAACTGTAAATCAGTGACTACTGCTTTCAGTGATACTTCATCGATGTATTTTTAGAGAGTAGGTGTTACTTAGCCTTGCTGGGGTTGTAAAGAATCTAAAAAGATACAAAATTTGGAAATATTTAATCGCCAGTAATTAGTTAAGGAAACAACAGGAAACTTCCTTTATTCGCCCAACGTTTCGGCCCTTTTCAAGTGAAATCAACAGATTCCAGTCGCATTTCTGCGCCCATACAGTAATCACACGTCTCTAGAGAGATATAATGTCTCCGTAACGATATTTCTAGTGGGTCTAATGGTATTTGACCATATGCCGTACTAGAATCTGTTGATTGCACTTGAAAAGGGCCAAAACCCATGGCCGAAATGTTGTGCGAATAGAGGAAGTTTCCTGTTGCCAATTGGGTCGATTATTCAATCTATTTGTTAACTAAAAAGATAAAATAAGATAATAAGATGAAGTAATGCTCACTGGGCATTACTGTCAAAATTTTTATGCATTAGCAGGCATTTGGTGGACACAATTTTGGTCAGCGGTTTACCCCACGCTCGCGAGACTTAAATTTCCAGCGGATAACAACGCCGCGCTGACTGCACGAGACAAATCTGTCAGCCGAGTTGATACGAAGAAAAATAAGAAGAGGGAACGCCAAAACTTGGCTGCGCAAAAATGCAGCAAATTTTCGTTCGCTACTTCCCTCGGGAGCAACTAAAGCAGACTTTCCTCCGCTTTCCGCTGATATGAGAGAAACAACGGTAGTAAACTGGAAGCAGGAAAATCCCGGTCGGATTCTCTCTTGCCGATAGACTTTACACGTATTCGATTACCGAGTCGAAAGTACCGGGAGTATCGGAAGAGCGTTCGTTTACTTTGGGAAGCTGCGGCCAGCGCATGTTATAACTATGCTGTCGCATAAATAAACGGCTCCGCTTCGTACTTTGCACGACTACCATCCCTTGCCAGTCTCGATGCTTTAATTTTGTCTGGCAGCGCTCCACGTAAGCCGGAGCGAGCGGGTTTCCTCCTTCTGCAAGTTTCACGAACGCGAATCGACTGCCGAATGAGGACCGAACTTTTCAATTGAAGCGGTCCGTGTGTGTCGTTGTAGCTCCGGCTTTTCTTCCCTTCTTCCCATTGATCAACCAACAATGCGAGAGGTACATGTTGCACCGCCGCCGTTTTCCTCCTCTTGTATCAATGATTCTCGCTCCTTATCTAGATTGTCACGATGCGATAAAGAGAAGAGGTATCGTGACCCAAATGTAGAGGAGATTGTCCACCAAATCTAAAGCCCCTTTTTCTCAAAGATGTACTAACTTGATTGATACCAAAGGCACCAGATGGTAGAAAAGGCCGGGAATGTTATTCGATAAAACTCGACAAATAAATATAATTCTAAAAGTTATCCGCTTTTCGACATTTACGGCGCTACTGTTATACAGCCGGAAACGTAAATTGAAGCCTTCTATCGCGGAGACGCATCGAGTCTCGTTCCCCGCGAAGAAAGAGCGTATCTTTCAAACTCCATTTAACAAAGGCTATCAAGGTAATTGATGGTCATAAAGCGAAGATTAAACTTGTTCGCATAAAATCGCTGATAATTGATTGCCGCGCGCGGTGCATTGATTTCGCAATGTTGCACACTTCAACAAGTGTGCTCAGCGTAGGAAACATCGTAAAAAAATAATTAGCTTCGAATTAACTTGGGTGAAAGAGAGACGGAGGGACAGGGGATAAATGTCTCTCGACAAATTATCGTAACTTTTAATAAATTGCCTTCATAAATTACTTTCGGGAGTGGGGACTCCACAGCTGCTGAAATAATTATTTTCCAAGATAATTTTCGCGAACTATAATAGATAGAAACTAGAGTTGCTCGCGCAAGCCTCGGCGTTAATAAACAGAAACTCGATATACTCATTAAAATTGACGTTCAGCGAGCGGATATACGATTGTTCAGATAGCGCTCCGGTCTTATCGGAGTCAAATTACTCGGACGATTTCGCGGGATTCAGGATTTCGTTCAACAGCCAGAACGATACGTCCCGAGTGGCGTTTGATCGAGTAGAAAATAAAGTGCGGGTTCCCCATATGCGCCGCCGGTTAATCGACGAGGAAACCGCCGGGCGGAACGTGGTGAACGCGGCGCGGACGGCTTTTTCTCTCACCCCGATTTTTTGACCGCTTCCCGGTTGCCAAAAACAAACTTTTTCCCGCGTCGCAGTCGAGTGTGCCGGCGTGGCAGATGTCACCCTGCGGAGTAACGTGACGGCATGTGGCACGTTTCCCCCGTCTTCCCGATTTCGCCGCACGCCCGCCGTGCGGCCGCAATCGCAAGATATTGCGGCGGGAGACAGGCAAACATTTGCGCGCGACTCGCGCGGCGCGAGCGCGCGCGACGATGCGCCGGCACGTAAAGCA